TCAACCCCCTTCCACACATACACATCCAACAACCCCCCGCCCTCCCCTTCCAGTCTCGTGCACCCTTTTTGGGGAAGAGAGTATAGCAGTCCGTATTTAAACAGTTCTCTTAAGAGCAGTTCTGATTACCGCAACTCGTACATCCGGAATGTTAACGATTTTCGGTTTTTGTTCTTACCTTCACAGACCAGAGATTGTGCATCGCGTTTCGTAAAGATCTCGAATATTTGATGGACCGAAATAAAATGCTTGCCTTTCAATTTAGTGGCTGAATTGTTTAACTATTGCGAGGGGTGTGGATGGTTGGAGGGTGCCACTCATGGCAGGTCCTACTCCTGTACTTTCCTTCTGTTGTTTCTGTCTGCCTGTCTGTCTGTCTGTCTGTCTGTCTGTCTGTCTGTCTGTCTATCTGTCTGTCTGTCTGTCTGTCTGTCTGTCTGTCTGTCTGTCTGTCTGTCTGTCTGCCTTACTTTCTTTTCAGTCTGCATTAAATGGCCATTATTGTGTCAGTGTGCTTCTCTTTACTCACAAGAAAGCTCAAAATGCGAGAAGTGTGTGGTTGTTAGCGGGTGCTCTGGTGTGGTTTGCTCCTTCTTTCTTATCAAACATCTATCATCCTTATCATTCTCTCCTTCTTTTTTGTGTTTGTTACTCTCTCGTAACACCTCTATTGTTCATTTCTTGTATGACCTAAATTTGTGTGACAAGTGCCGTAAAACTCTTTATTAAAACTGCAAGTGCCGTAAAACTCTTAAACTAAAACAGCAAGTGTCGTAAAACTCTTTATTAAAACAGCAAGTGTCGTAAAGCTCTTTAACTAAAGCAGCAAGTGTCGTAAAGCTTTTTAACTAAAGCAGCAAGTGTCGTAAAGCTCTTTAACTAAAACAGCAGGTGTCGTAAAACTCTTTTAACTAAGACAGCAAGTGTCGTAAAGCTCTTTATTACAACAGCAAGTGTCGTAAAACTCTTTATTAAAACAGCAAGTGTCGTAAAGCTCTTTAACTAAAGCAGCAAGTGTCGTAAAGCTTTTTAACTAAAGCAGCAAGTGTCGTAAAGCTCTTTAACTAAAACAGCAGGTGTCGTAAAACTCTTTTAACTAAGACAGCAAGTGTCGTAAAGCTCTTTATTACAACAGCAAGTGTCGTAAAACTCTTTATTAAAACAGCAAGTGTCGTAAAGCTCTTTAACTAAAACAGCAAGTGTCGTAAAACTCTTTAACTAAAACTAAACTTAACGAACCCCCCCC